TATTACCAGTGCATGGGAAATTATTAATGGCCTTCAAGCCTATAAGTTGTATTTCTACTGTGCTCCCAATAGGATGGACAGAAAGCACATACCTGTGACTGAAGGTGGAAGAAAACACCATTGAAAATCATGTGAAATAGCTGTGGCAAAATGTAGCCAAGATACAAAAGAAAAGAAAAATCAAAGTCTAGTATTTCCAAATTCTAAAATTCTGTTTTTGGATAGCTGATTTCATAGAAGTATATGTGGGTATTAATATCAGTATATATGTGCTTTGTCAAGTTCAGCTGAAATGAGAAAAGTAGATGTAATTGAGGTGTTCTATTGTGTGGATGTCCCCAACAATTATCTTTTATTTTTAATATTTATTTATTTGAGATGGAGTCTTGCTCTGTCGCCAAGGCTGGAGTGCAGTGGTGCAATCTCGGCTCACTGCAACCTCTGCTGCTGGGTTCAAGCGGCTCTCCTGCCTCAGCCTCCAGAGTAGCTGGAATTATAGTAGGTGGCACATGCCACCACGACCGGTTACTTTTTGTATTTTTAGCAGAGACGGGGTTTCACTGTGTTGGCCAGGGTGGTCTCAATCTCCTGACCTTGTGATCCTCCCGCCTCGGCCTCCCAAAGTGCTGGGATTACAGGTGTGAGCCACCGCGCCTGGCCATCTCCAACAATTATCTAGCCCTTCCGGACCAGATGTTTAAATTCACAGAGAAAGACTAACCCAATTCAACTCCAAACTTCCTCAAATTTTCAGTAAATCTGAAACAGCTGACCATGTATAAACATGTAGGGAGTTCTGACAGACACATAGCTTCTTGTGAAGATGACAGATATATCACCAAAAAATAAATAAACAAAATAGCAAGAAGAAAGAAGGTGATACCACTACTAACAATGGGCTTATTATCAAGATTAAATGAGTTGATTTATTAGAAGAGACCCTAGAACATGGTAATGGTAATGGCTATGTAGGTGTTGGCCGTATTAATATTGTTACTATTTTTAGTGAGGCTATCAATATTTTCATTGCCAGATAGCAGAAACTGTCAATAGACAGCTTATTCCATAGGAATTTTTATAGACAGAGGGGAAATTCTGGACTTGTGTTTAGATAAGAACTTTTCAAATCCAGCTATGAACTAGATTTGAAAAGATGGAACCCCAGATTTCCTTTTTTTTTCCTAGCCACATCTCTTAAAATTTGTGTTTTATGACAAAAGAGATTGTCCTCACTCAAAATTAGGCTCAATGACCACATTATACCTTTTTTTTTTTNTGAGACAGTCTTATTCTGTTGCCTCTTAGTGCAGAGGTATGATCTCGGCTCACTGCAGCCTCTGCCTCCTGGGTTCAAGCATTCTTGTGCCACAGCCTCCCAAGTAGCTGGGATTACAGGTGTGCACCACCATGCCCAGCTAACTGTATTTTTAGTAGAGGCGAGGTTTCAGCATGTTGGCCAGGCTGGTCTTGAGTTCCTGGTGTCAAGTAATCCACCCGCCTTGGCCTCCTAAAATGCTGGTATTACAGGAGTGAGCCACCAAGCCTGGCCCACACACCATTTTTTAATACAATATAGTCAATCAACTGGAAACCACAAATCTAAATTATGCAAAGGAAATATGTAAAAAATGAACAACTTCTTTGAAAGAGATATTTTTTTACTGCCACTCCACCTATTTTTCTCTATTTTATGATGATTTAATAGTAAAACTACATTGCTTTTATAATGAGAAAAAGCAACACATTTTCTCTTATTTATTTTTGAGACATGATCTTGTTCTTTTGCCCAGGCTGGAGTGCAGTGGCATGATTATGGCTTACTGTAGCCTGGCTCAAGCCATCCTCCTGCTTCAACCTCCCCAGATTTTGGGATTACAGGCACAAATCACTACACCTGGCCCAATTTCATTTTGAAAACTAACTATTCTAATCAAAGTTACAGCAAGATGCCTGATAAAATGTTATTTATAATTTTTTTTTTACTGTTTTTTTATTTGCCAAGGTGCAAGAAAAGCAGCAATTTCTTTGTGAAAATATTTTTGTCCTTTTGGACACTGATTTGAATGGAGCCCAGGCAGAAAGTGAACAAATGCTTTTGGCACTGAACAACATCCAATAACTATGAAAGGGGTTAGACATTCTAGTCTTGTCACTGGTGTCTCAGTAGCCATTGTGACATAGTTTGTAAAAATATTAATCTATCAGGTGGGCTTCTCTTTAAATTATATACTTATTCATATGGAAAACTATAGGCAGAAAAATGGAGTGGTTTATTTATTGTAAATCCAAATTTCATTTAAAATAAGCAATCTATGTGCACGGTTAAAGTTTTAAAAGTGTATGAATGATCTGGTGAAAAGTCTTCTTCCCTAAGCCTGTTCTAGTTCCCCTTCCTGGAAGCAAATAGTGCTTTTAGTTGCTCATGTATCCTTCAAGAGACGCTTTATGCACATGCAAATAAATACACAGATATAGTCCCAATGTTATTGTGTAAGAAGAACAATGTTATAAGGAATTTGTGAAGCCTGAAATCTGTCTTAATAGAAGTATATTCTGGGTAAGTAAGCTTCTCTATTTTTAATGTTCCAGAAAAGAATGAATGCCATCAATCATTCCATAATTACTGAGTTCCTACTACGTGTAAGGCATCATGCCAGATGCTGTTTGTACTGCCAAGTTGTCTTTAAAATTTTTATATTTATGTCTTGTCAAATCATATCTGTGCTCAAACATTCCTATCTCAGAAAGGCCTTCCCCGATCCCCCCTTGAAAGCAGCTCTCCCGTGTCCTGTCCACTCTATCACATTTCTGTGCTTTACTTCTTCTAGAGCTAAGGGGATTCTATAAGGCTTCACTACGTCTTCCTTTTGAGGTGAAGGAGAGTGCTGTTATCATTATAGAAGGATAACAGGGGTAAACTGGCAATGTAACCTGAGATGGTTGGTCACCCTCTTCATAGTGTTTTTATTGCATTTAGCATTCCAAGATAATGGACATTATTGTGCCCACTTATTTGTTTACTTGTAAGTTCCATGAAGCAGGAACTTTTCTTGTTCTAGGAATCCATCACCCAGAAGAGTTCTTCACACAAAGTAAGTAGGTTCTTAATAAATATTGGTTGACTGAATGGATGACCCAAGAATGCCCCATATTCTGTGTAGAACTGAGCATCATTTGGTTGGCACTGGAAAATCGAAAAGCCGTAAAGGTACATTTGCTCAGAGTGCTCTTTCCCTAAACAGAGGGGAAAAAGGAGCCAACTTTTAATACTCAGATTTTGATCTGCAGCGTTTTCCGTGAAGACATGAGTCTGGTAGATAGGTACTAGCAACATCAACTCTTCTGTTACTTGTGAGGAGACTGAGGTGCTGTGGTCTCCAAGATAGGCCTGGTGTGAAGAGCAGATGAGTGGGATGAGAATGGTGATGGCTCAGTTTGATCTCATGGTCAGTTAGTCCATAAAGAAACCTGTCTCCAAGCAGTGGAACAGCTGAATCCACATGACTTAGTCCATAGGCCAAAAAAAAAAAAAAAAAAAAGAGCAGCTTTAAAGTACCCTGCCATGTAGGCCCATTCATCTCCCAAGGAGGGGGGCCAGTGGGATACAAAGGAACAAGCACTTTTCTGTGTCTGGGAAGTGGCTGGTCTGATCATGCACATGTACACTTCACACACACACACACATACACACACACACTAATTATCAGAGTCCAATACACTTCTCACACACACACACACACACACACACACACACACACTGATTATCAGAGTTCAAGGGCCCCAAGAGTCAGTTCTAATAGAGAAGTCTGACATAATTCTCTACCATCTTACCTAAAACCAGATCAATCATTTAAATCAGGGGCCTGGGTTTCAGTGGCTTAGTAGCTCATTTAAAATTTTCCTTCTCCTCCGAAACAGAGAGGCCTGTGTGCTGCGTTTTGCTGATCCATGGGAGAATTCCTGTAGGAAGAAGAGGCTGAAACATTGGCCTAAGGTTATTAAACAGAGCTTTCATAATAAATATGTCGATACCATTTCTGAAAGATTTCAATATTTCTCTCTCACAGACATATTGTTCAATTTTATTAGAGGAAATCATTCTGGTATCCTATTGGCATTGTTTAATTTTTGGGTATAATCTTAAGGTCCTTGATTTTAATGCTGTGGGAAATGAGATTCAGAGATTGAATAACTTGCCTTCCTTGACATTAACTGAGATAAGCTTCTGTTTTCAGAAGTTACAACCTTGGCTGGGCACGGTGGCTCATGCCTGTAATCCTAGCACTTTGGGAGGCCGAGGTGGGTAGATCACGAGGTCAGAAGTTCGATACCAGTCTGGCCAATATAGTGAAACCATGTCTCTACTAAAAATACAAAAAATTAGCCAGGTGTGGTGGTGTGCACCTATAATCCCAGCTACTCAGGAGGCTGAGGCAGGAGGATTGCATGAACCCGGGAGGCAGAGGTTGCAGTGAGCTGAGGTCATGTCATTGTACTCCGGCCAGGGTAACAGTGCAAGATTCCATCTCAAAAAAAAAAAGTTAGAACCTCTTCAAATATTTCACTTTAGGCATGTGTTTTAAAAATGACAGTTGGATATGGTTGAGAGCTCAGTTGCTAAATCTGTGAAACAACTTGTAACACACGTTTAACCAAATAAAATTATTTTCCCCAGCTCATGCTGGGCTGACAGCTTCCAAAGACTGTGTTCACCTTCATTTTCTCCTCATAAAAAGGGGGCTATAGCTATTTTTAAACCTGGGGGGGGGGCGTTGAAGAAGAGAATGTAAATTATAAATCTAGGTTAGTTGAATTTATTCAAGAAATTGCCAGACTGAATATGAATACTTGTGGAGTGTAAGTGAAACAAAAATGAAGGCTTTGGTGATCATAGATCTATTATCTATCTATCTTTCATCCCAGATTGGTTTTAGAATGAGAAGAAAAAAAGTGATTTTCTCATTTCTTACTCTTATACAATGAAGTGGTTAGCTAAACTCATACAAAGTGGCAACCTTAATGATCATTCTGTTGCAATATTGTTTACTAACAAAACAATAATAAGTCCAAACAAATACCAGTACAAAGAAAATCTCTATTCTGTGTAGCAAATGTTGGTCAGACTTTCACCAATGAGCCATGTATTTGAAAAGGACTTGATATTGAGAAACATCTCTGATCAGTCTTCGATGTTTATAGTAACAAGCCATAACAGATCTCCTACCACCTTTCTGTTTAGGCCCCAATATGAAATGCATATGAATGTTATAATTTCGTATAATTCCAGGAGAAACAACCAACAATATTATTCACCTTTTTTTCCTAATAGTGAAAACCCCCAAATATGATAAATTTATGGATCCTGCTCTTTGCTGAACACAGTGCTTTACAGCTAACATGTGGTGACAAGCCATAACTCTTCTTATTTTATGTAATGAGGAACCTTAAATACAGAAATCTTTAAGGACCTATTCAAAGTCACACAAATACTGAGAAAATTCTATGGTAATAATTTTATCTGCAGGTCAGATCTGCACCTTACTTTCAATAATCAACATAGGGCCAATCGGTTGCATTATTTTACTACATACAACTTCTTATTTTAGAATCAAAGAATGACATGCCTATATGCCACCAGGAACAACTGAACTACCTATTCAAAAACTTTCATCTTTATTCTTCTCGGAGACATTATGTTGTCATCACCTGCTGCCACTAGATGGTGCTTGTCATCGAAACAAAGGTCTTTCCTCCTTTCTGTTTTCTTTAGATGCCTATTAGGACCTTGGATGATAGGAAGGAAACTTGATTAATAAGCTAAGTACTGGGCAGGTATTCTAAGAAATCATTTAGTACAGAGACTTATTGATTAAAAAGTAAACAAATGATTATCAGTAAAGCTTACTTACACCGTTTTTCTAGTTCTATCCATTTTTCTGCTCATTCTTCTCGTCACTAAGCTGTGTGAACCCCAAGGCAAAAAGAACCAATAAATCTTTCTCTGGGCTTGTGAGAATCAAGAGATATAACACAAGTTTTAGGAGAGGCAAACAAAAATCTTTGGATTCATGGTTATCACCTGGAAAAGCAATCGAAAGTGACCACATGCAGAGTTTATAAGAGAAATTAATCAATGACCTTCCAAAAGAAAATACACACGTATCTAGTGGACACTAATCAATAGGAAATAAAACATGCTCTTTTAATTGTGGGATAGCAAACATCAAGTAATGAAAATGATAACAGAGGTTGCAAACACTTTGCCAAAGACAACTCTTTTTCTCATTAATTTAAGACACATACCAAATCTCACCTCCATAGTACTCTCATTCTCTCCCTGCCTCCCACCCCACACACCAACTTTATTCTTCTTTTAGGGTAAATTCTTGCCAATCTTGGTACTGAAATGCCTTCCGGAGTTAACTATTTAGCTTATGTGACGGAGAGTTTGATATATTTTGCAGCAGAATGCTTGCAAAATGTGTTTCTTGAACTTCTTTTTTCTTATTCACCAACACTGACTGTTCATGGCTGCTTCACGATTATAATGAGAAATTGCCAGCTATGTTGAAATACATAATCCGGAGTGTGAAAAACTGCTGAACAGCAGTGGCAAATTCTTAATACAAAAGTGACTTCCCTTTGCCTAGTAGCTTACTTTGGGGTTGCTGATTCTTGCAAACTGCTTGCGTAGGGAGTAAAAGTTAATTTTAACATTACTCTAGAAACAGAATATAATTACTTAGGTGAAAACCTTAAAGCTAATTTTTTGTTTTATCTTTGGTTTTGAGTGTCCCATTAACAATTCCTGGTGATATTCTGATGAATATCACTGCAGTGGGTTATGCAGAATGTGTCAACATATATGTGAGCCAGATGTGACAACAGGCACATGACATTAGTACATTTTAATTGTAGACATCAGACAGATTGGGGTGGTTCCTTGTGCCTTCTAAGCATTAACTAAGGTTTTTAAAGGTACAAGTTTTTAAAAAGATACAAGCTCCATACCTGCTTTCCAAGCACTGGTCAGGCACCATGGATCTCTGGATCTCTTCCAGTTTTGAATACTAGAAAGAAAAGCCTCTGTCCTCAAATTATTTCCTCCCTACCCCCATTTTTTTTTTTTCTTCCCTTGGAGGCTCTATTAGCTATAGCTTTGTATTGAAGAAAGACTGGGAACAAGGAGCAGATGGTATGTGAAATCATTTCTCTTGAACTTTATGTGTTTTGGTGGCTACTGTTGAAAACAATTTGCTCAGTGACGTCACATATACATTACATATGTATTACTAGAAAATGATATACACGTGCATGATATACCATGCGGTTGAAATCCATTAAGTGACTATTCTCTAGCAGTACCCAGAACAATAGATGGTGTCTGTGCTGACAGTCTGTTCATATCTTAATGGTTTACTTAATGATTCAACGGTTTACTGATGGCATTGGTGCTGGGTCATTGGTATATTATTTGCTTGGCAAAGGGTACTTGAACCTCATTAATTAGGCTTAGGAACAGAATAAATACAAATAATCACTTTGCATGCTCAAGAAACCGCATTGAATGGCTAAGGCTGTTTTCCTAACTCCCAAGGAAGACAGAAAGGCACCAGTGATATAAATGAAGGACACAGTTTGACAACCACCTTATCCTCAGACAACTTTTGCTAAAGGTGAACAATGACTTAATACTGTGTTATGGCAGCACTCTGTATGCCCCAAGTTTTAGAAAGTAGAGTCAAGAGTGATCTGGGCTGGGAAAACGCATGCAATTTTAGGTCTGCATGGAAGCACAGGCTCTCCCCACTGGGGAACTCTTCTGAGTAAGACAAAAAGCTGGACCTAGCACCAAGCCCAGGGCGTTAGCCCAGGGCGTGAGAGAGAAGGAACCCAGGAGGCAAGCGCGACGGGTCTGGAAACGGGTCCTTCGTCAGCTCCGCGAGGGCGCTGCGCGGAGTCCGAGCCCCCGGCGGAGGCGGCGCGGCTCTAGGCCCCTCCCCGCCGCGGAGGCCCGGACGGCTGACGCCGAGCGGCGGCCCGGAGCGGTGGGGGCCGGGCGGGCGGGCGGGCGCGAGCGAGGGCAGGGCAGGGGGCCGGCCGAGGCCACTTACGGCTTTAAATATGGATCGCAGGCTCGCGCTCGCGGCACAGCCTTCGTCGCGGCCGCCTTCCCTGAGCCCCTGCACCCCGGCTTGCTTCCGAGGGGCGCCCGGGCTGGGCTCCACTGCTGCAGTGTTAGTTACTGGCAGTAACATCAGAGATCCCCATAAATATGCAGGAGCTGCAGGAGGCAAAGTAGAGTAGACGCCCGCGCTCTCACACACTCGCTCGCCGCGCACCACGCGGGCCGTGTAGACATCGCCCCCGACCCACCTTGTCCCCCTTCCTCGCGGGCCGTTCAGGTTCCAGTGCTGCCTGCTCCGAAGACCCTCCCGCCCCAGCGCCTTTGCCCCGCTCTCCCGCGCTCGCGTCCCTCCGGAGCGCGCACCCACCCAGGCGGCAAAGTTGTGACTACTTGGGCGCGAGTGACCGGCGCCCCGCTCTTTCCGCGCCCCGCGCAGACAACTTCCCGCGGCTCGGCCCCGCCGCGTCCCAGGCTCGCGCCTCCGGGGATTCCGCGGCCCCCCAGCCTCCAAACCCGGCGGCGCGCCGGGCAGCGCTTCCGTGGCGGCCGCGGCCGTAGTGGCAGCGAAGGCGGCGGCGGCGGCAGTGGCCGCTGCAGCCCCACACTCCGCCGCCAAACTGGAGGAGCGACGGAAGCCGGACCCCAGGAGGTGAGCGCCTGGCCCCGGCAGCTGCAGGGAGGGTCGGTGGGGTCCCTCGCTCCACGGCGGCGGCGGGCGCGGGCCCGGGGGCCGATCCCGGAGGGCGCGCAGGCGGCCTCGGCGCGCTCCTGGGAGGGAGAGAGAGGTCAATTGCGGGCCGGGCATCCCCGGAGCTGGGCGCGGGCGGTGTGTGGCGGCTGCTCGCGGAAAAGTACTTTTTTTTCCTTGTTAAGGTTTAGAGGAAGAGTTTGGGTGGTCCCGCTCCTCCCTCATTGCTAAGCCCCCTGCGCCCAACTGGGCGTCGTTACGAGGACTGCGGGACCAGTGTCTGCGGCGGGCTGGGCGCAGGCTCAGTGACACGTGTGTTGCTGTGAGCCTGGGTGGTCGCCCTGTGACCAGGCACCTGCTTGAGAGGAACGCATCCCCAAACCCATCACAGGGGGAGACGTGGGGACTCTCGGTGCTGTCAAGGCCGCGGCCCCCACTTCACTGCCTGCTCCAGGACGGAGCATTTACATCTCTCCCTGGCACGCCGAAGGCGGGGGGTGAGTCAGGCAGATTGTCTGCAAGTGGCACACGCACATTCATTGGCAATGGATTTGGATAGGGGAGGCAGAGGTTAAACTGGAATTTCTTTTGGCCAGCGACAGCGGACCTCTTCCTCAGGTACTGGGCAGCATGTGCGTCTTGGCAAAGAGAGGTGATTTCTTTTTTCTTAAGTGCATTTTACTCAGCCGTTGCCAGTCCGTTAATAAGTCACCAAAGGAAGGCAGGAGTTGGGAACTACATCAGCAAACCGCAGCAAGCACCATTAAGACAAAAGTTCTTACAGAACAAAAAGAAAAACTTGAACTTGACGTGAAAGATGGAGAAGGAAGCAGTTCTACCTCTGTTCTGTCACTTTTTTCAGCGCCCTGTAAAACTATTTTTTCTACCCTTTCTTCCGTCTCAAGGCCCTACCTTCTCTGCATAATTGATCACAGCAAGCTCTTTCCATCTTGACACTGAAGAGCAGCGACCCCTTTCGCTTACCCTCCCCATTTCTTTTCCTAGTTCACTTCAGTGGCCTGGAAAGTTGCTCCTAATGAGAAATCAAGAACACTGGGCTGTACTAAACGCTCATTGTCTCAAATCCTGGAACAGTTCCTTTTCTAAGAGACACTGCATTGTACTGTATTTCTCTTTTTTCTTGTATCTTGGAGCTTGGAGTTGTAATATTAACCTGAATTACATTAATTAAAGTGTGCATTGCTCATTTGGGCTTTTTTTTTCATTGTGATTTGAGTAGATTCGTCAATTCCATTAGAACAATATTCAGTAGTTTTTTTTTACAGCCAATGTAATGTCTTTTGAAAACGCTTCTGACTACAACTCTCTTGTGTCTATCACATTAGCATATAAATAATTTACATGGCCATTTTAATACTTGGACTGAAGATATTAGTATAACTTCATTCAAAGGAAGTGTGCCTGTTTATTTTTCTTTAGCTTTATAGCTGAGAAAAAATTTTTACTTTCATTTTAAAGTTAAAAGTTCTAATCTGGTCTTTGTGTTAAATCTTGAAATTGGTTTGCCTTAACCGTATCCCAGACTGTCAAGTAAGATGATGCAGAAACTCTCATATATGTAGGTGGAGACAGGAAAGCAGTACCACTGCATTATGAACTGTTGAGGCAGAGAGCATTTGTAGGAGTGGGGGTGACAAGGACAAGATTGGATATTTTGATAGTTCCAGGCATGTTTGAAAAAACCGAAAACTAAGAAACCCCCAACATTTTGGATTAAGTGTTCTTCAAATGACGGTTTTGGTGCCATTTGCTCTTTTTTTTTTTTGATACAGAGTCTTGCTCTGTGACTGGAGTGCGGTGGTGCAATCTCGGCTCACTGCAACCTCCGCCTCCTGGGTTCAAGCGATTCTTCCGCCTCAGCCTCCCGAGTAGCTGGGACCACAGGCACATGCCACCATGCCAGGCTAATTTTTGTATTTTTAGTAGAGAAGGGGTTTCACCATGTTGGCCAGGATGGTCTCGATCTCTTGACCTCGTGATCCGCGCACCTCGGCCTCCCGAACTTCTGGGATTACAGGCATGAGCCACCGCGCCCGGCCCCATTTGCTGTTTTGGGGTCATTTCTGGAGACACAAACATACATTAGACACCTTACCCAATGACATTGACAGGATGTACTGTCAGTTTAGATTAATGTATTTCTTTTAGTTCATGTAGTCAATATTAAATAACTTTAGATGTTTGAATGTTAGTACCATTATTTCAGTCTTTTAAATGATTAAGAGACATTTTGGATTTACAAAAATGTTATGTGTAAGAAATACAGGCAATCAGATTTAGAGGAATAATGCGATAGAAATCGGGTAACCTTTAGGACAACTTCCAGTAGGCCTTGATGGTTATCTCACTTTTCACTGAGTGCTGGCAGGTACAGTTTTGAGGTTCTGATCCCTTGTTCTGATAGCAAGAGTGATATCTGGCCATGCTTACATCTTAAAGGAAAAGAAAACACTTAAGGAAATGGAAACTAGCTGGTGAATCATGTAAATAAACAGGATTCCTTGCCTGCCTCTGAGAGCACTGTAGACCATGAGGACTACTTTTCTGAGGGGAGAAGAGCCCTTAGAGACTGCTGGACTTAAGTGTGGCGAGATACATTATGTTTTTCTTAGAGTTTCTTTGGCATTATTTAAAATAATATGAATGAAATCTAAGACTGGAGTTGATAGATAAGATTGGGATTGGAAAGAACAAACTGAGAAGAGGAAAATCTAATGAGGATTAAAATTTCTAAGCAGCCTTTTCTTGATTGCTAAATGGAAGGAATCAAAATGCATGATTTGATGGGACAAAGGAAGCTATAAGTAGAACATGTATCTCAGTTGATGCTGTTTCCAAGGACAACCTGTGATTTATGAAATTTATGTATTTTTTAGGGAGTCATTTAGCAAAATGGATAAAGAACATCCAGGAAGCTAGTAAGACTTTACAAAACTAGAACTTACTATTTTTACATAATGTTGGAATCTTAGAGGAAAGAAGGAATAAGTTTTATATAAGGTCAGGGCTAAGTTGTATTCCAAATATATTTTGTTTTTCACCCAATATTTAAATATTTGATACATTTGGGTTGCAAAATGGAAAATATGCTTCTGTTCTTCTGACATGAAGATGATCTTTTATATTCTCAGTAGTGTATACCTTTGGTTATTTTTCCAGCAATAGGGATGGATTCCCCTTTACTTAGTTCTGCCTAATGTATGTTTACACACACACATGCACAAGCACAGACACACATCCCCTAATTTGTAGAGGTGGCTGATTTAATTTTGTGGGAAGCCATAGTAACTACTTTCATAATACTTCTGTGGCAGTGGCTTTTGTTGCATTTTGGCAGTCTCAGCAGTGCAATGACATTTCTAACAAGACATTGAAAGTATGAGAGCCAGATGTAGTGATCTTAGATACTTTGGAGGCTGAGGTGGGAGGATCACTTGAGCACAGGAGTTCGAGGCTGTCATGTACTAATATGCTATAAAATTGTGCATGTGAATAGCTACTGAACATCAGCCTGGATATCGTGAGATCCTGTCTCTAAAAAAATGGACAAGTGGGCCGGGCTCGGTGGCTCACACCTGTAATCCCAGCACTTTGGGAGGCCGTGGCGGGCAGATCACAAGGTCAAGAGATCGAGACCATCCTGGCCAACATGGTGAAACCTTGTCTCTACTAAAAATACAAAAAAATTAGCTGGGCGTGGTGGCGTGCACCTGTGGTCCCAGCTACTCAGGAGGCTGAGGCAGGAGAATTGCTTGAGTCCGGGAGGCGGAGGTTGCAGTGAGCCGAGGTCATGCCACTGCACTCTAGCCTGGTGCCTGGTGATGGAGTGAGACTGTCACAAAAAAAAAAAAAAAAAAAAAAGAGGACAAGTGTATAAATGCTAATGGCTTTATTTACTTGCTGTGGCAAAGGAGAGATACAACTTTTTCTTCCAGTCTTCTTAGTGATACAAATAATTTTATTCCTTAATGATAATGTCTTACCTGACTCTGAAGATAGTTGGCTCCAGACTTACTATGTTCGATTTAAAATTTTTCAGAATTACAATGGTGTGAAAGCGTTCACATTCAGTAGGAACTGTACTTCGAGTACTGATAACAACATTCCGTTTTTCACTTTCAGTACAGTATTCCATAAATTACATGAGATATCCAGTAGTTTATTATAAAATCGGCTAGGCTTTGTGTTAGATGGTTTTGCCTAGTAGGAGAATGTAAATGTTCTGAACACATCCAAGTTAGGTTAGGCTAAGCTATGATGCTCAGTAGGTTAGTTGTATTAGACACATTTTTGACTTATAGTATTTTCAATTTATGATGGGCTTACCAGGACATAACCCATTGTAGGTTCAGTAGCCTTTGTATTGGAAAAGGATGGTAGTAGAAACAGTAATGTTGAAACTATGTGCCTCTGTAGTTGTTTGCGTAAACCAAAACATCATCTTGTTTCTCTTCCCTGAAAACTAAGTGTAAGGGATTGTTGCTCATTGAAATGAAGAGGAAACGATGACAGAGAATTCTCTATGCTTTTCTTAAATGTAATTCTAAATTATTGGTGGAGGTAGGAATGAATATTTTATCTTTTGACTGGTGATACATGTTTGTCGAATGACCATCAATGAATGGGTGACTGTTTTTTTAGTCACAGCAGAAGATACTAAAGCGGATAAGTTTATCCTGTTTTAAAGTGACAGTTTCCATTTTGTGTGGGTAATTCTGCTCAGTAGCAGTGCCCACTTGCCGCAACTTGATTTCAGGTTCTGCATGGCAGGGACTGTTTCATGAGAGGAGAATTTTCAATTTGGCTGTACCAGTTGTAGCTCCAATCTTGAGAGCTAACTTTTGTTTTTCATGTAGAATGAACACAGAAAGAAATTACGTGAAATTAGGGTGTAAAAGGAGGTAAATAACCACCAACTGATATTCTGGATTTTTGTATTTTTACTTGGTGGATAATTTTGTGGAAAAGGTATACTCCTTGACTTGAATTTAACTTGAATTTCTGTATTAGAAACCTTAAGAAAGTTTTAAATAATACTTCTAGTATACTTTTTTTGGGATTAAAAAATCAGTATAAATAAAAATACAACATGAGAAAAAAAGTATATTTAACACTGCTATAATATTCTGTGAGTGACACAACTAGAAAAATCTATTCTTAATATTTTGAAGACATCTTATTTAAGAAGAAATTGGTGATTTCTTTTTTTAAAGTTTATTCACTGATTAATATTCTTCTTAATACTATTTGCAAGTAAGTAAACTTGTGAGGTATGGATTTCTATGTTAGTTAATTCTAGCTTTGGCCTGGAGATCTACTATTCACAGATAAGAT